AAACTCACTTGGATTCCCAGCAGAGAACTTTTTTCTATCTTGTGATGACAACAATGTTGCGTTTTTAATCCGAAAGTAGCAGCCCCCCTCCTCCCCCCCCCCCCCCCCCCCGTAATAATAAACTCGGTAACCTTCCAGTAATTCTAGAAAGTCACAACCCCCCCCCCCCCCCCCGATAGTAAAGTAACGACCTGTCGTTAAATACCGAAATTAATGACCCTTGCTATTTTCGGGATTCTACGGTATTTGCGTAGTATTGTTTTTGGATAATCACTTCTCAAAGGAAGGAAATAATAAGTCAAATAACCGTGATGGTGGTTTGGATATCTGATCTTAATTTATAGCATAGATTTTTTACGATTTTATTCCGTTTACTCCTTAGTTTCTGTTTCCATTGAGAAGATATATCAAATACTCGAGAGTGTGTTTCCAAACACCTCGAATTTCGTCAAAAATACTTTGCTATGCGTCATTTCTCTGTGTTTGGAAATCGGATGAAACACGTCCTCTTGTATTTGATACATTACAGGGAAAACAACAATTCAGCAAATTGTCCCCATTTTAAACTCGAGGTGCTGTAAGTGCTGTCGCAATATTCATTATTCATAAACGTGAATGTTACACCTGAACATACAATACGGCTAACACCTTTGTCTCCACACCGCGAACGAGGGCCAGTTATTTTCGCTTCTATGAAGTACGTGGTATTTTTCTTTAGAGTAATGCCCCTATCAAGCAAAACTTCTAAACCATCATAACAACCTGGGGTGCTCTGGAAAGGCTCCGAGAAAACCTGTCCGTTTTTGCACACGACTTTTCTCTTGCCTTCCTCTACCTTCAAATCGATCGAATAACTGTTCAGCTCACTACCAAAGAGGCACACGCCGACTAGCGTCACGTCTTTGTCCACAGATAAATTGATGGCATTTACTGAGCTGTTATAACTGTATCCATACCAGGACGTAACTGAACCAAACCTACAACATCGTTGAATATCACCGCCAAATCGTTTGGTTTCTGGGAGCTCCACCAAGCAACTCGAACTGAATTGTTTGACAACTGTGAGAATTTCTTCTTCAATTAAAATCTCACTGTCTAACACCGCACTTGCAAGATCTTCTTGCTTCATTAGAGAAAAGCGTAGTCCTTTAATCATTTCTTCTCCGAGAATTCGTCTTTTAATTGCACCCTCTGCTGCTAAACCTTGTCTATCGCATTCCCTTTTAGCCCACAAGTCAACAGCTTTGAACAGGTCAATCTCTTCAATCGTCAGAGTGTCTCTTACGACTACTGCTTCAAGTAAGGACCTCTCGATTGTCCCAAATCCATCCGATTCAACAGCCTCTTCCGTCTGTTTATCGATCACTTTCCAGCATCGATCCACCAAGTCTTTCTCTTCGTATTTCTGAGCAGAGGGCAGGATGCTGAATACATTTGATGGATCTAAGTTATCTCGCAGATATTCAGTGCATTTAACAGCCAGTAAAGGCACCATATATTTTTTCGCTAAATACAGTACTACCATCACATTACTTCCGCTCAAGATCACTTCATCACTGTACATATAACGAAACAACTCCAACAGACTCTCATAGTCACAGTCAGGAAGTTCAATAGAGTCTCCTATTTCCGCCATCTTACCGTAAAACATGGCTTCAAACACAGGACTACCAGTCGACAAGACGAGCTTGTGAGCTGGAATCACTTGTTTACATTCCCTCTCGCCATCCGTCCTTATCTTAGGAACAATAAACCTTACATCGCTGAAGAGATCGTTGTTGAAAATAAACTTGTTTCTTTCTCTGATGGTGGGTCTTGTTGTTTGCCAATTTAACTCCACGACAGACATGATCGACTCATAAAAATCAAGAAAAGTCGCGGGTCGCCGCTACCCGTAGAACGTTTTAGTCACGCGAAACCCGTCAGATCAGTTGATCAATTAAACATTAACCTTTCCCAAAACGGGTGTAAATTTGCATTATGAGTGGAAGTCGACACCTGTATTCAGTCAAGCGAAGAATATTTTATTTCGTAAAATATTGCAGATCGCATATATTGTTCATTGCCTTTTACATAAGATTTCAAGTTATTCAAATCATTGCTAGCTACTAACCAACTCTTAGCGGGTTTTTTTACCCTACCCGTGCATTTTATAGTGTTGGCAAACGTTTTGGGAATTACCATAAGAATGAAGTGTTTATCTAGAGATAGTGTTGCGCGGTTTCCGGCTCCGGTGTTAGTAATCAGTTCTGCTCGTATATTGGCTTTCCTGATCAAAGGTCCCTCGGGCAACAAAATTCTGCTCGAATTCTGCTCGGTACAACTTGAGCGCGGGAGACGCATACAGGCACGGAGCGTAAAATGGAGCAAAAAAAAATTAGGATGGGGGAAGGGTGAATTTTTTTTTTGGCTCCTTTTCGCGCTCCATGCCTTCGCGCGCCTCTCGCGCTCTGGAAAAGGAATCGACTGCTACGCAGGCTGGGTACAACTGAAGGCCGATCAAACGGTCACAACATTTGTTGTGAGCCGATGTTGAGACCGTTTGACCACCCCTCACAACAATTAATGTTGTGACAAATTTCTTTTGTTCTTGAAATGTCAGCAATGTTGAGAGCTTGTTGTGGCCGTTTGACCGGGCATGGTCACATGTCACAACATTTGTTGTGACCGTTTGATCGGGCCTTGAGCCGTATCTGCCGGTTTTGGGTCGTTCTTTCAACTGCCTGTATATCTTTTGTATTACTGCTTTTTCCGTATTCTGCTCAAAAATGCGGCACATGTATTCTGCCTGCATAATGCTCACTGCCGCAGGTGGTGAATTATGCTCGAAATTCTGCCGGCAGAATTTATCCTAGCCTCCTACGCAGACGCTCTTTGGGCTCGTCACGCAAGGAAAGATTGCGTGACGAGCCCAAAGAGCGTCTGCGTAGGAGGCTAAATTTATCCAAGCCTATTTCCGGTTCCGGCGTGTTCTTTATTGCGACCCGCGCGAAAAGTTTTGGCGTCGACCTCCAGCCGATCCTGACGAGAACACAAACCTCTGGTCCCCAGGGTAACATATTAAACGCAACCTGTAGCGCTAAAATAATGCAAAGGCGAAAACGACTGAGCCATGCACCCAACAATAATTGGCTTTCAGTCGAGGAAGCATGTCAGGAAATGAAAAGAAGAAAATGGTGATTAGGTGGAATAATTTGGACCAATTTGGAGAAGTGGATACGTAAAGCCACTGTCAAACGGTCTCAAACATTTGTCTCAACATCGAGAGCCGATGTTCAGGCCGTTTGCCCGGTGTGGGGGGGGGGGGGGGTACTCCCTTATATAAGCTATATAGGTATGTGCGGCGCCAAAGGGTATGGTTTTTGAGCCGTTTAATTTGGTCTGAAAACGGGTATAGATTTTGACCATTTAATTTGGTCTGAAATAGGGTATGTTTTGCCTACTGGTCTGAAATAGGGTATAGATTTTTGCCATTTTGACTTTAAAATGGGGAAATTTTCCCCTAAATTTTAAGGGTGAGGTCTGAAATAGGGTAGGGAAAATCACATATTTTGGTCTCAAATAGGGTAAGGGTTTCAAGAAGCGTCCCCCCCCCCCCCACGGTGGGTTTGACACCCCCTCTCAACAATATTGAGGTGTTGATGAGAAGATTTTGATTCCGTTTAAACTTTGTCTCGACATTTCTTTTGGTCTCAAAATGTTGAGGCCGTTTGACAACCCCTCTCAACTAGCCTGAATTTCAGCCGTCTCCAAAATTCAGGCACCCCACGGGGGTTGGGGCGAGGAGGCGGCTGACACATTCTCGACCCCAGACCTTCGCTGCTTTCTTGACTTCGGTCATGCGCAAAAGAGAAGAGCTCTGGGGTCGAGATTGGCGGCTGACACTTCAGACTACCTGTCAGCAATGTTCAGAAGAGTTTGATTCGGTTTAAACTTTGTCTCAATATTTATTTTGTTCTTGAAATGTTGAAGCCGTTTGACGCGCTCTCTCAACTCCCCACAACATTGTTCTTAGTCCCAGACCTCCCTTGTTGAGAGGTTGTCGAGGCCGTTTGACACGGAGGCCGTTTGACACGGAGGCCGTTTGACACGGAGGCCGTTTGACACGGAGACCGTTTGACACGGAGGCCGTTTGACACGGAGGCCGTTTGACACGGAGGCGGTTTGACACGGAAGCCGTTTGACACGGAGGCCGTTTGACACGGAGACCGTTTGATAGGGACTTATTCATTACTAACGAATATCTCAATTCGATGTGTTATAAATTTTGTTTGTATAATCAAGTATTGAATTTCGCGTTTTTAATTGTCACGGCATTTCTATTTCGCGAGTTTTCATTTTCGCGAATTTTTCTAAATTTCCACGCATGGGGAAGTTTAAAAATAGATCTGCTATGCGTACATGCGTGAACTGTTGTGACGAGTTTAGCTGACCAGAGACACATAGTTTATTATACGGAGCTTCATATCTTTACAGCAGAACATACCCATTTAATCCCCAAGCTCAAAATATGATTTCTCCTTACTAGTTGTCATATATTTCGTTTAATTTAGTTCTGAGAGTTTGGTAGTACAGCAAGACTACAGAAGATTTTCTTTTCTAGTCACCTGTCTGCTCGACAGCATTGAGGGGACAGGGACAGACTCATTTTCCCCCTCCTCTCTAGTTTTTTCGGCCGTTTCTCCCTCCCCCTAGTTTTTCCGGCCTTTCTCGCTCCTCCCTTCGTCGTTTCTCCCTTCCTCCCTATTTTTTCATCCCTAACCCGTTCCTCTCTCCCTCTGCATTATAGCGGAACCCCATTATCGCGTATTAATTATTATTAAGCTTTTGTTCGGGTCAACGAAGTCGCCGCATTAACGAGGTCGCCGAAAGGCGGAGTTTAACTCAAGCCACGCTAAAGTTTACGTGGAAATCGATATGATTAGGTCATGATGTCGATATACTTTTTGCAAAAACGCTAGCTAGTAATCAACTCCCAATAGGTTCTCCGTGAGAGAGACGCTGACGGTGGCCTAATGGTTAGGGAGTTGGGCTCCAGATCGAGCGGTCTGGGTTCGAGCGCTGGCCGAGGTCATTGCGTTGTTCTTGGGCAAGGAACTTTACTCCTTCTCCCAGGAGTATAAAGTCTACAAATGGGTACCGGCAAAATGTCTGGTCAATGCTGCGGGAGAGACGCGATACTCATACTCACTTCATGCTATAGAAACCGGAGTCATAGTTAATAGAGGGAAATGGTTGTGAAGCCCGGCAAACTTCAAAAGGAGCAAACACAGATGGCAAGATTTATGTTGGAAGGTCCATGAATCAGTCCCAGAATCAGTCTTTACAACGGACAGCAAAATGAAAGCGAACTTACCCCTTAGTTCACAATAAACTGATTGCTAATGATGAACGACGGATGTAGGAGTGTCCTTCATGGACAACAACAGCATGCATTCAAAGATCATTTGAATTAATTAAACTAAGCGTTCTTGCGTGCTCTCGTGCATATTCCGAGAGACACGCCACAACAACAATAGAGCCGCCATTTTGGATTTGGATTGTAGAGCATGCGCTGTCAAGTCAACATAGCCAGATTTTGGCTACGCTTGCGTAGAGTTCCCCAGAGCCTTCGCGTCTTGCGCAGTCAAAAAACGCGGGGGCTCTGGGGTCGAAAATGCCCTCTATTATCTTTGCCGGAGTAATCGCCGGTCTGATATGCCGCCTGGCTTTAACCTTTAACCTTTGTTTAGTTCGTTTCCCACGCAGTAAGCGAGGGAGAATATTGACTGACTGTGAGCAGCATAAACCTGCTTTCTAACTAGTACAGGCAGTGTAACATTCTGTATCCAACAGACGTTGAACTAGATGACAATTTTTGGCGCTTCTCAAAAGGACCCCAAAGAACGGGGCCCTCGTGTTTTTACTATTGGTGGTTTGCATCAATATTACCAAGACTGTTCGCTTGCATGAACAATATCAGAAAATTAACAACTTATAGAGCAGGCAGAAAGAAACGTTCTGTCCAAATTATAGCTTTGTATCGTTTTTCATAACCGAGTTATTACGAAAATAATTTTCAGAAAATTACAGTATTTAGTATGCAGCCGCCATGTTGGTGCCCTTCTTTGGGACACCAATATGGCGGCCATAAAACTGTACACGAAGTAGAGTAGATTCTACCATCAATATCATTAGCTTTCACTTCAAAACTCTTTAGATATCACTTCTAAATTATTATCACGTATAAAAATTTAAAAATGACATAAAATACCCGTTTTTGTGACAGTTCAAAAACACGTTCATCCGGGACATCGCAAATTTCAAAATGCTTTATTTTCGAAACGAAGCAATGAATCGATACCAAACTTTGCATAGAGATTAATGTTTTGTATGTGTAGAATATGTGAAAAGAATAGCTTTGTAGAATTAACAGTTTAGATTTTAGAATTTTGATGACGTCAGATGCAAACCAAGAATACAAGTCAGGGCCCAAAATCTACTACACAAGAGCGTTCCTTTATAATTGAGCCTCGCACCATTGCTTTCCTCAGTTTCAACCCTAAACTAAAACACTTGTTTGGTTCTCTATAACCATACACACGTACCAGCAAATAAAATGTTAAGTATCTCTTTTTTTTTTTTCAATTCTTCTACCCTTTCCAAGAAAAATGTCTGGTTAAAACACCGACGGTTTTTCTTGGCACCTTGAGCTCATTTCTTCCTCTGCATGAGGTTTTTAAAGTACTCATTACTAAAACCCTGTTTTGGTTCAGCGCCATTTTTGGCCTCAGTCTTTCCCTCGCTCGATGGAGTCGAGTTCTGTGACGAAGGCGCTGGTGCCGAGGATGCGGTTTTCTGCAGTGACCTGGGAAGGAGTTGCAGCTGGGTTCGTGCGCGCCCACGACTACAACAAAAAGAACAGCGGTCAAAATTAGATAGGTATAATAAAGGAGAACTGCTCAAACAAAGTCACGTGTTAATAATACCTTCCCGGTTGTTCTTTCGGTCGCTGCTGTTGGTCGGCCCCAGGCTGCCTGGGTCTTCTGCTTGGTGGATTTGACAAAGCAACTGATATTTGCCTCTCTCCGAGCAGACTTCCATCGAGCGCTACAATAGCTGTTGGCGCCGAGGTCTGATAACAACAGATATGGAAGAAAAAAAAATTAATATAACTGACTTCCAACTTGACAACTTCAAGGGCTATCCACCTTGCATTTCACACAGCATAGACAAACAGCAGTCTGTAGTACAGTCGACGTTCTCGTAAGCGGACACCCTCGGAAGCAGAAAAAGTGTCTGCAACTGGAGCTGGCCGCTTACGGGAATGTGTAAAATTTAGCAGGTGATGTTATTTAGCTGTGCAAAGTCGACAAGTCAAATGTTCTCACTCACCTCTTCTTCATACTCAATATAGCCATATCCTTTAGGTTTACCGGCTCGGTTGGTCACCAGCCGAACTTGGGTCACTTTCCCGTGCTAAAATGAAACAGATAAGGTAAAGGTATAAAAGGTAAGGCAACGTCTGTTCCAATTCTAGGGATTGGAGGAGGAGCCAGACGGCTCACAACTCTGGTTTCTGTAGCATGACGTGACAAGGAGTATTGCTACTCTCCCTGGAGGGGATGCTAGTGTTATGATGCTAACTTTACTCGTTACTTAATCGTTAATTTTAAGTTTGTCTCGTGTTGATCTTGTAATCAGCTGCTGTTGTCCAGTTGTCAAGGTCAGCCCACGTGTATCTTGTCTTGGCTCCAAATTCTTTTTCCGTTTTGGTTTGGTTTGGTGTATAACAATAGTTCCCACAGAGTTTATGATTGACTGATATGACTGGCCTTGGCTGAGTCTCCGCGAAAGCCTGAAGTTATTGTTTTATCCTAGTTTAGATTCGTTCCTTGAAATATTGTTTATTATGTTTTCATTATCCATGTAGGTATGCTTTGGTTTGTTTTGGGTTGTTACTTCCTGAGTAACGCTAAGTTCTCGCGGTTCGAAACCCAAACTGATGTCTCTACGTGCAGTCCTTTAGTTAGAAGGTCCTTGGGTGAAGAGAGGCACTGTGACAGTGTCTTGTCCAAAAATGGGGCTCGAGCTTGGCGTCTAACGCACTAAACGTCAAGGCAAAATAAGTGGGATAACATAAGAAAAAACTGGTGAGTCGATCAAACACTCAGGAAAAACTTCGATCAGGAAAAAGACATCCGCGAGAGGAGATCAGTGGAACTCAAAATAACACAAAGTGAGTGAAGAGCACTGAGGGTCAACTACAGATGCTTTACATTTCACAGAGAAGCGATCATGGTGATACGAAAGAGAAAAATTAAAACCTCACCTTTTTGAACACATTCTCCACATCTGACTCTTTAATGTCGAATGGAAGATTGGAGACAAACACTGTTTTCTTGTCAAGTGACGTAGGAAACTATAAAATAAACGTTAACATCGATTTTAACATGTTGTATACTGAAGAGGAATCTCACACTTCTCGATTTCATTTTCGCCGTGGTTCAAGGAAAGGTAAAATGTTTTTCTTGCCGGCTGAGTTTGCGTAAGAGGCAAGAAAGGAGGTTCTCACACACTGAGGAGGGGCCTGGGTTGGGTTAAGCGTACGTTAAGGTCACGTGATCCAGTTTTTGTTTTCTTGCCTTGCAAGCAGCAGCGATCCCACCCACCCGCCCCTTTTGCCAGTCTGCAGTTCACATGCATGGTTATGGTTATTTCCCAAATACCCAACGTTTAGGTTGTTGTTGTTCGTTCGTTCTTTAGTTCAGCCAGGAGCATATCACCCTGGAGCCTCCATCTCCCTTATTGGGCCTATGACACGGCGTAGTTACACCTTGAGCTATTTTTAGAATTACTTTTGCCGCGAAAATCACCCGTTGCGATTACGAGGACGAGGTTGTCATTCATGTTTCAGATTTAAAATAAAACCAGGAATGGACGAGAGGAACGTGGACTGAATAAAACTAGAACGGCGGAATGTCGTTACTACGAATTATCACTATTGTCCGCGGACGTACACGGAAATCTTTTCGCGGGAGAACGATTCTAAAAATAGCCGAAGGTGTAACTACGCTGTTGTCATTAATCAGCACAGATAGAGGCTCCGGGATGATATGCTCCTGGTTCAGTTCATTACCTGTACTAGGTAGGGCGTGTGCTGTTCTTATTAAAGTGCTGTTGCTTGTGTGGCAGACAAAGGGCACTCAGTGTGTGAGAAAGTCTGTTCCTAATGATCTGAGAAGCCCGTCGGCTCATCGGTGCCGGTACGTAACTCCGGTTTCCATAGCAGGAAGCGACTAGGAGTATTGCTATTTCCCCCTCTACTGATAGGCCATTTCCGAGTTGCCTTTTGCCTCTGTTTCAAAACGAGTCCTGGTGCACAACCTTTGTTATGGAAATTAGTTTGATTTGCATGACAATAAACGTGCAGGGAAAATTAATTTCCATAACAAAGGTTGTGCACCAGGACTCGTTTTGAAACAGAGGCAAAAGGCAACTCGGAAATGGCCTATTCATCGCAGGTTACCCCAAGCATTTTGCCAGGTTTCCTTAACAGTATACCCCTGGGTGGAAAATGCACTGTGCATCCGGAGTTCAAAAAGACACGGTGCATGGCGACGAACTATTAAAGACCAACCTTGAATTGCGTTGGGTTTTTAGATTTGTCCACTGAAGGCGAAATGAACATGGGTCTCCCGTCCAACTTGGTCCTGTCCATAGATAGGGCTGCTTGAACCGAGGACTAAAGTGAAATAACAAGAAAATAAACAGTTGAATGTTATTCAATCACCACAGCAAGATTCAGTCTGGTGTGAGATATTGAGATATTTACCGTATGCTATCTCTTAGAATCTATTTGTATAAAATCCCCATACAAAACCTTACATTTTTAGACATTACTGCTGACGCAATACGGCATCAAAAGATCATCCTCTCTTGACGGCATATCATATACCTTATTATAGCAAATTAACGCTCGTGTTAATTAAGGTATTTGAAATTAACGCGACTTAAATTAACGCGAATTGGACGGACAATTACTTCCAAATAAAGGAAATTAACGCGAAAGAGGAGGTAAAATTCCACAATGAA